GGGAGCTCGGGCTCTTGGTACCGAGCTAGGACTTAGGGAGCTCGGGTTTTAGGGAGCCGGGACCTTTAACAGGGAGTTCGCTTTTAACAAGGAGCTCGGACTAAACACAGCGATCTGGAGTTGGGGTTCGGTAGTGAGTTTTGACTTGCTTCCGATGTTCGCTTTGGGTGCTCTACTGTCCCGAGCTGTTTGCCTTTGCTACGCGTCGGGCGAACGCGAGGTCGGGCCAAATTTTCCTTCATCAATTAGGAAATGCCTTTAAAATGTGGCTTACGATATTCATAAAGTTGTGCTTGGTAAAAACCATTAACAATCACAACAATTATGGTTCAATCAACCTAACTCACATGATCACTAGGGGTGAGCAAAAAAAAACGAAAAATTGAACCGACCAAAAAAACCGATCGAAACTGAATCAAAAAATTTGTTAATCGTACCAATCGATATATGCATATTTTTTAAATTTGATCAAAGGAGTTTGACAGTCTAAGAGACTATTGGCATTGCTAGTTTGACAGTGCCAGACTGCCAATCTTGAGTGTCACAGTTCGGCTTGAAACTTTCAATTGTTTTTTTTTTGGAAAAGTAAACTTTCAATTTAAAGTTGGGCAGTGTGACAGTCTCCATTAATTGTCCATCGGTTTACTAACTTTACTTTTCAAACCATCAGCATGGCAGCAGCTGTAGCACTAAGCGACAACACTGGTCGTCGCCTCACCAGCAAACAAGCACCAACAACAGCACCAAGCCCATCAAACAGACTTCTGTCTCTCTTCTCTCTTTCTCACCTCTCCTCTTGGCGTCTCCGCCAGACTTCTAACAGCAACCACCGGCACCAACTAGTGCCGACACGATAGCAACCACCATCTTCGAAAAATCCGACACCGACAACAACCATCGAGTCACCGATAATTTTAGTCTTTTTTTTATTTTATTTTAAATGAATAAAAAAACTGAAAAACCGAACCACGGTTAACCGATTGCATCGGTTCGGTTTTGGTTTAGATATTTAAAAAACCAATCAAGTCGGTTCGTTGAAAAAATACCCTACGGTTCGGTTAACCGAACCATGAGCACCCCTACTGATCACCTCCAACACAAAAGCCCTTCTAAATGGGCTCATAAGATATGTGGGACTGTGTAAATATGGCAAATTGACCTGTCCCTGTGGGGCCTGCCCAGCCCTGGTTGGGGCGGGTTCAAGGAAAACCCGAAACTCTGGGGGTTGGGGACGGTATTTGTCCACCCCAACCTCGACTATATTATATAGCACAATACATACAAAATTATTAATATATGCTAATATATATTATATTATAATATATTACATAATATAAAATAGTTTTACATATGTTTCAAAAAAATAAAAAACAAATTTATAAATATAAAAGTAAGAATGACCGGGGTGGGTGGGGCAAATTTGGGGGCGGGAAATGGGGATGAGGTCAAGATTTTTAGCATTGTGAGGGGTTCGGGGCAAGGACGGGACGAGGAATTTCAATTCAGGGTCGGGTATCGGGCAAGCAAAACCCGACCCCGCCCTATTGCCATTCCTAGGGATGTGTTAGGCAAAAGCGACACTATGGTACATAGAAGTCAAAATCTTCGCAAAAGGATTTGTGCATGTTTGGAAGGGCTTTCGGGATGTGACATTTGGCATTTCAAGTTGGGCTCCACTTAGGAATGACAAAATTTGTCTGCATTAAAAGTTTCAGAAGCTAGTCTTGAACTCCCAAACTACTGCTCAAATATATATACTGCTACTCTGATTTACTTTATGGAGCACGGACACTCAACCACCGCTTAGTTAATACAATGCACTCCAAATAAATGATCTAAGGCTCTGTTTGGTTTGTGGGAAGATTTGAGTGGGATGGGATGGGATAGGAAAGTGTAAAAATTAAACTTTCCATTGTTTGGTTGTTGGGATGGGATGAGAAAGTGTAAAAGGGGATAAAAATGGCACTGTTCACATTCATCTTCGGACGAACAGAGGCGACGGCTACCCCTTCATCTCCCACTTCTCGCACTCTATTTCTCCTATCTTCTTCTTATTTTCTTATTATCTTCTTCTTCTTCTTCTTTCAATCTATTTGTTTCCTTGACCTATACACCGACAACCCACGCTTAAACTCGAGGGTAAAAAATTCTTCCACCTCATATAACTTCAGTCTCGTTAATGGTGTCTGGCCTTCCCTTAAATCGTTAACAGCTGGCACTGGCGTGACCTGCGGCGCATCATTGTTGCCGGCCTTAGACATGATGCACACTGCCCCATTACACGATGTGCCTATTCTCTTTTGAGACAAATGCATAATAGAACCAAGAAACGCTGAGTGTGTGTCTCTCCTTGTTACTTAACTTTGTCGTTCCGTCTAGCTCGATTGAATATTCTTATCTAATAATTAGTTTTAGCTTGTTGATGCTCACAATATTTTTTTTCTTCCTTTTTGATCACTTAAGAGGTTTTATTCAATGTCCATTTCAATGGAAAATAGAAAGCTCGTTCATATGGACCCACTAGTTGCATTTCGTTTACCTTATTGCTCCGCATGTTCCAGTTGAATTATGGAGATTGAACTTGTTGATATTGATGGGAAATTATGATAATTTTGGCATTTTTTGAGGATTTCAATATGCCCGTATTATTTCCGACTCAAAAAGAAAAAAAATGGTGTCTTTGTAGTTTCTAAGGATTCCAACTTGCTGGAGAAGATGCATATGGGACTCTCATCGTCGATTTCTCTGGTTTATGTTAAATTCATTTTGTAGAAACTTTTTGGAATATTTGGCGTGGTCGCTACGGATTTCTCTAGTTTATGCTGGTGGTTTTCTTCTATCTGAATCGGATTTCTTTGGTTTATGTTGGTGGTAGCATGCGCTCTAGAGCAAGGACTGTGTTGTTGTTAATGCACGTGGACCTTCGGCGTCGTCGTTTACGGGAGGAGGGAGATGAAAACTCTGAATTTTCTCAAATTTTTCCACCGAGGTTGCACGGGTTTGGTGTGACCCCAAATCATTGATTTTGAATTCTGACATCCCACATTTTTCTCACCCCATCCCACTCTTTTCCTCAAAACAAATACGAGAAAATAAAATATTTTTGGAATATTCCATTTTTTATCATCCCCATCCCACAAACCAAACCGAGATTAAATGTCCTTTAAGAAGGTGTGCCGAGTGGCTCCACACGTTTTTTAACAGAAGCCCTCCGGAACATGGATGCTTAACATGAGCCGCTTTTTAACAGCTCAATCCAAACGCTGAAGCCTTCCAGGTTCTTGCGATAAGCGGTGTGGGTGTATGGACGTATGGTGGTACGGGTCAAAAGTTAAATACGAAACTCCAGTTCGGGTCATAACTCTTAAGTCACAACTCACTCCTATCGTCCTAAACCCGAATCCGGTTCCAAAACATTGATCGAAATATTACTCGTCACCAAACATCCTATTTAGGTTTTCACACACCGAGTTTGGTGTACCTAAAGGGCGCCATTTTGCCAACACGCAAATCCGAGTAATCCATCCAACGGAGCCGACGCCTAAAACCCTTTCTTAGTTCTCTTCACCCCCATTTTTGTTTCCTGAAGCAGTCATCGGAGGAGGGTATCTCTCTAACGCACATAGACAGACGCAAATGAACGAATATATAGATTAGAGAGAGAGAGAGAGAGGAACGACTCCAACGAAACCCTAAGATCCTAACGGCAACTGTAATGGCGTCAAAGTTCGGCATGGCGGGGGGAATTCCGGAGCGTCGGGTTCGACCGATATGGGACGCCGTTGACTCTCGCCAATTCAAGCATGCACTGAAGCTTTCAACTGCTTTGCTCTCTAAGTATCCCAACTCTCCCTACGCTCTTGTAAGTTGTCCTCCACTGTTCAATATATATGAACGTTGCGCCAACAGTGGAATATTGTGCCTTCACTTCACATTATCCATATACATTTCTTACTTGTGTCTATCGAGTACTTTCATCATGAAAGTTGTTTCAGAAAACTTTCATTTGGAACCTGCTTTTGTCGTCTTTCGTTTGTCATTGGAGCTCCGAGTCTAACAATGAACTATTATTACTTACTTTATTTGATGCACTAATTGTTATTACTCCTTTTGCTATTGAAAAGAAGAATAAGCAAGCTTGCGTTTGACTTTAGGAAAGATTGAAGCATGCATAATTCTGTCATGTGCACGTGTTCTTGTTTTGTTCATAGTTAGACAAAATTTTCACTATACGAGAGGTGAAATCCTGCTACCATATCACTCTAAAGGTGGATGCAATGCCAATAAGTGGCACTTTGAAGTGCTTCTGACTTAACATCTCAGTTACAGTGTGATGATTCTCTTTTTTGTACATTTAATGTTATGCTTTTTTGATTCCAATATCGTTTATTAGGAAGAGCCGGATGGTTTGTTTATGTTTATTGTATAGGCTGTTAATGCTATTACCAGTATAAGAAATTGTTTGCATTTTTCTGACGTGAGACCTTTGCTCCTAGAAATGTAGGCAGTGTTGGAAGTTTTCTCTTGAGAGGGCCAGTGCATAACTAAAATAAGGGAAAATGCTTATTTTCCCCCTAAAACATGTTCATCATTCCGTTTAGGCTATGTGTGGTTAAAATTCTTCAAAGAATTACTATTTGAAGAATGGGGTTTCAGCCAAAAATATTTCTCTTCTGATTATATTTTTTTTTAGCTTCACAGAATCAATAATTAGAATGTTTTTTCTCTGTTAAAAAAATATAATGTTTTCTCGGAGATCAGAAAAAGGAATTAGTTCCAACAGTTTTCATAAATTCAAACTTAAAAGTGATTCTTGGAATCACAAAATTCATCAAATTAATGAACGGAAAAGACGGCAGATGCAGCCTTAATGCATTAATGCATGCAATGATTGAGTGCTTTTATTCATCACTTTGAACCCGTATTACAATTAGTAGAAAAATGAAACAATTTAAATATGTGACAGAAAGCTATCAAAGAACAATTTTATTTTCATCAATTAATTATCAAATACAATTATTATGTCATCAATATAACACCTACTTATATGGTCTTAAATAAACAGAGAAAAATCAGAATCACAGAATAATAAATGAAACAGTTTAAATATGTAATAAGAACCTAGCGAAGAACAATGATTCTGAATAATAACGTCATCGGTATTAAACTATTAAATAATATGATTATAAACAAGCATATCAAAAAATAAATTATTCTATGATCACTAATACAGGGTGCATTACTCGGTGTGATGGTAAAATCTCGGGCTAAGCAAGCATGAGAATGTAGGTTTGAGTCTGAGACCAGTCATTTTGTGCAAAAAATGCCTAAGATTAGGACCATATCCAGTCTACTGCTCCCAAGATCCCAGATAGCTTGGACCAATATTGGAAAGTGTTTTTTTAAATAACTTCTTTGATACTAATGTGATCAAGGAGATTTTATTAATAAGAAGTCTAAGCCCCTGATTGATAAAAAAAGAAGTCCCAACACCTGCTAAGTGCTAAATATAGCAGGGAACAACACATAAACTACATTAACTGAGAGAGCAAAAAAATGCAAAATTACATGCTTTCTAGTTTTGGAACTCTAATAGTGGGCCTGGAGCTCCCATAACAGTTCATATTTACTAAATGCTAACCTCTCATTTGGCTAAAAAATTTGCCAAGATGGGCCTGGAGGACCTTAACAAATACTCTGTATTAAATAATAGCTAATATAAATTGACTAACGGAGTTTGACAAAGATTATATGAGATGAACCTGGTCCATCTCAGCAAACCTTTAATGAATTAATTGATATAGTGTTGGTTAGAGAAAGATGGAGCTTCTTTATTTCTTTTTGTCTCTCTGCCTTGATAATTTCTTTTTTAGAGAAAAATAAATTGAATATTTAAATACTTTTTTCATTGATTTTTTTTCATAGAGAGAGGCAAGATGATGTTTTCTTTTTTTTTTCCTGTTTTCTTTTCTTTTATTAACTATATTCTTTTATCAGAAGTAAATTTTCCATTGATGGAGATAATGATTGTGGCATCTTGAATTCTTTCCTTTTAGGTAACTTAAATAGTAGCAATTAACAAAACTGTGGAAGAGAATGTTTTGTATTGGTAATTGTTCTTTTTCTTTGTTGGCTAAGATTGGTATTGCTCTAATTAGACAATGGATTATGAGTTAAAAAAAGAAATGGCAAACATGGAATTTGTGATATTTTTTATTGTTTTGGAGGAAAGGTTACATGAGTCTATATTTTAGAACAAACTAGGGGCCCATTTGGCGTGTCTTTTTGGGAAGATCTTTTGGTAGCTTTGACATGCAAAAGGTGCATTGAGCTTTTGCATGAAGATCTGAGCAGCCCGAAGCACATTTGGCAGACGTGCGTCTCTCTACGCGAGATTAAAACGTGAGAAGCTTCATTTGGAGCTTCCCGAAATCAGCCCAAAATGGGCTTCTCGCGTCTTTTCGGCATTCCACCTTTTGGTGGCTAGATCTTCCATGTGCCAAATGGAAATAGACTGAAAATCGGTCTTCCCGGCTTGTAAACAACTGAAAGACCACGCGGAAAGACGCGCTAAACGGGCCCTAGATTAGTTCTATAATTGGGGACCAATATTAAGGTAATATTGATCTCCTCCCTCTCCCTTCCCCTCCCTCCCCCTTCTCCCCAACAAAAAAAATATCATCTCTCATTGGCAACTTTGTAGAAATTTGCAGGGGTGCTCCTTGCACTTGTCCAAGGCCTTACACAAGCATACTCTATGGCCTTGCTGGCTTGATTGTTGAAGGTGACTGTCATGTGCCGCTGGTTGTCCTTTAGATAGGCAGATCCATTGCTTCTCAGATTTCAGCATTTGGACTTTGGACTATAGAAGTAAGACATTTATCATCCTCCCTGAACTACTCATTCAATTGGTTCCATGATTGGAAAATGAGAGTGCTGATGCTCTAGCCAGGAAGGAGTCAATAGGAAGATGCTAGTTTGGGGTCTCTAGGACTGGAGATTAATGTAGAAGTGTACTGTAGTTTGATTTGGTTTTGAATGGAAGCCCTGTCCCTGTGTTTGTATGATATGTATCCGATCTCTATGAATTCTTTGTAATGTTGGTTTATGAATGAGCAATTAGAAAAGGCCCATTGCACATTATGTGATGGAGCAAATACTAAATGTCACTTCCAGAGGCCGCGATCTGCAAACCGGTGAGGCGATAAAGGCACTGTGGCATCCCATTCAACCACCCAACCCTATTAGACGAGATATGCAATTGGCTAATAGCTTCGTCACATACGGAAGAAGCACGTGAATGCCATAGGGGACAAGCAAAGGAGAATGTTCCAAGCTGGATATAGGCAAAGCGCTTAGTCTGTTGGTCTTGGGTGGTGAATCTTTTAYAAGGAGAATGTTCCAAGAATTGGAGGAAAATTACATGTTACCGACTAAGGAAGCTCCTGCTGGTTACAAAAATATAAAAATATTGAGAGGGATGCTCCATGGAGATGATGTAGTGGTTTTCGGGTGAGGCACAAAGGAGATGAAATCAGCTTATGGGGTTTGTGCATGGAAAGGAATTATGGATTTTCAATTAGCTTTCTTGAATTTTGTTTTTCGATGAGCTGGGTGATGGTTTTCCAAAAAAAGGTGGGTGATGTTTCATTGATAAAATTTTGGGAGGATGATTTGGTGGGAATTGGTAATTGTGTGATCTTTTTGCCCAGGGAGGTACAGCTTAAGTAGGAAGAACATACCTATTGCGGATAGTTTTGATTATATGACCTTTGCCCCATTGGGAGATGGAGGAATGTGTGAGCTTGTTGTCAAAGTTGCAGCTAATTTAAGTTCAAATTGGAAGAAGGAACTTAAGATTGTGGAAGGAAGCTAAAAATGGCTTTCTCTTTGTTCAATTGTTTTCTAATGCTATTGCAAGAAATCAAGTGGAGAAATCAGAGAGGAGTACAGTGGGCAGGAGGATGTTATTTATGTTCTGAAGAGATTGTATTGCACTTGTGTATAGATTGTTGACTTGTTGTTTCATGAAATACATCTGGGGGTATTTCTTTGGTCTTTTCAATTCTGGCTTTTTGGATCACCGGAACTCTGGGGTGGATTTTTGCTAGGTGGCCTTCAAGTGGAGAAATCAGAGGGGAGTGCAGTGGGCAGGAAGATGTTATTTATGGGAAGTTTCTGAACACTTGTGTATAAATCGTTGTTTCATGAAATACATCTGGGGATATTTCTTTGTTCTTTTCAAATCTGGCTTCTCCGATCACCAGAACTTTGGGAGAGGTTTTTGCTAGGTGGCCTTCAATGTGAGGAAATATCAAGGGGAAGATTGCTTGGAGCTTTGTTTCTTTTTACCATATGTAGGGAAGTTTAGAAAGAGTGAAATATAAGGATTTTGAAGAAAAAGAAAAAAGAAAAGATTAAATAGTTTTGCTTTGCAGTAAAAGAATCATGCGGTGGATTTTATCTTACCAGGAGTTGAGGGAGTCTCCAAAGAAGATCTTGGAAGTGGTTTTTGGTCCTTATTAGAGCTTGAGATTAGAAGTTAATTCACTGACCTTTTTTCTGAGTTGTATTGCTTTATTCTTTGTTGTGGGGAGTTTTGATCGTTTGGTGATATCTCATTACCATTATGGATCATTCGATGTACTTTTTTTTCTTTCATTAATAAAATTTTTATTTTTTATTTTTTACCTAAAAAAGGGACAAGCAAAGGATAAGGTAGCTTACATCCTCGAGGACACATGTTGGGAAAGGGGATACCCAAGTACCAAAGCCCTAAGAGGACACGTGGCGACATCCTGACCAACCTGTGCCGCAGTGAATCGTCAGAATTTCGAACCTTTTGGATTCATTCTCTGGCACATTACAAAATGGAAGCCTTGTGTGGATAGGAGATCAGAGATCTCCATAATCTCCATGCAAAGATATCTATAAATACCAAAAGATGGTGGCTCAGTTGGTAGGATCTCTGACTCGTTGTAGCAGAGACCTGGGATCAAATCCCGCTGCCACCAGGGTTGGGGGGTGTAAGGGGATGGGGGATGGGCGACCCTCTGTTGTCTAGCCCCATGAAGCAAAAAAAAAAAGAAAGAAAAAGTATGATGGCCTTTCCATGCAAAAAAATAAAAAAATATCTATAAATACAGGATTTCACTGAGGGGAAAGGCCATGAAGTATCACCTTGCCCTCTAGAAACCCTAAGCTTACCCATTCCCTTCTGCCCAAGCTCTCTATATTCCCGAAGGAATCCATCTTCCCTTCAGGCAGACCCCCACCGTGCTCAGCCCAACCCTCCTAGAGTTGCGATTCCACCTATTTTTTCCATTAGCACAATTATTATGTACTGTTTAGAACAGACAATAGAGTTGGGCCTCCTGTCTCTTCTCCTATGCAATGAAGGGCAAATGTTGGTAAAAGCGGTCCATTTTTTCCTATTTGTTAGCATTTCAGGACACATGATATCTTATATCCATTTTGTGTTAGAAAAACTTGTCATGTGTGATGAGTTTTCTCATTTGAAAGAGTATAAGACTATAAGTGCATGAAATATAAGACTCACACCTCGTTTTTGAGTCAGAATGTTATTAAAGAATTACAATTTTGGAAAAAGTAACAAGAGATTTGTATTTCTAGTTATCAATATATTTATGCATGTTCATCTTCAGGCAAGTGTGAACCCAGGGAAATACATGTAACAATTCCATCGGGAAAGTTGCATTAAGAGAATTCATAGGAAGTGATAACAATGCACTTGCAGATTTTGATGATAATGGATGGTTCCTGTGAGTGATGAAAAAACTATATTGTAGGCCAGCTGCTCAAAACCTTTCAACTTTATAGAAATGTATTTAAATTGGAGCGTCAAAAAGGATTTTTATACAAGCCTTGATATACTAAATATAATAAAGGAAATGATGGACAATAAAAGGAAAAAAAATTCATTACACCTTAATCCTTTGATGGAACATTTAATTCTAAGTTGCAGTCTTGGTGTAGGGTGGACTGGTGCAAGGCATGAGCCCTACCTTGGTGTCTGAACTTTAGAAGGTTTAGCCCTAAGATGTGCCTCAGGTCCTTTTTATTGAGCTTTGCATGTTTTGTTTCTCGAAGGATGAATTCATGTTCTGTTTCTTTCTGCCTGCTGCCTGTTGTCTTTAAGACAAATGGATAAGTCCTTTTTACTTCCTTTTGCTTGCGTTATTAGTAGAAACAATGCATTTAATATGGTTAACTGGGTATGTATGATGTACATATATAATATATTTTTTGGCTGCACTATCTTATAATATTTAATATTAACTTTTGCCACCTTTTCTTCTTTTCTTGATGAGCAACAGTGGAATATGGTTTTATTGACAAATGTCGTGTTAAAACTCTCATCCTGTTGGGGGGGGGGACATGAGACAGATACAACAGCTCTAGGCTGTTTTCCCCAAAGGCTTGGTTCTACAACTGTCCTTTCAAGAAAGAAGTTGTTAAGCTAACATGATTGGAGAATTAGGCTTGTTTTTGCTCATATTTCTTCATGAAAATGTGCATTTATGTTATTGGCATATAATTTGCAGATACTGGGCAATGTTTTTTTTTTTTTTTGTAGCTGTACTTTTGAAGAATGAGAATATAATGCTCATGTGCTGTGTTGGTCCTTCAAGAGGCAATCTTGACAGCTGATGCTTTCATCTTCTCTCATAGGCACTCAAGTCTCTTATTTTGGAGAGGATGGGAAAACCTGATGAGGCACTGTCCATCTGCTTAAATGCCAAAGAGCAATTATATTGTGATAATGTTGTTCATATTGATGATCTTACCCTTAGCACCCTACAGATTGTTTTCCAACGTCTAGACCGCTGTTAGTATTTACTATTCTGCTTCAATGTTCAAAATATTAGTTTGCATTATACTTATGTGCTCTTTTCCACTTATTTTATTATTTATTTATGTATTGATTTTTGGTTCTGCTGCATTTACTAGTGGATCTGGCTACTAGTTGTTATGAGTATGCTTGTTCCAAATTTCCTAACAACTTGGAGCTGATGATGGGTCTCTTTAATTGTTACGTTCGTGAATACTCATTTGTTAAGCAACAACAGGTTGGTTTCTATCCAAGAACTATTATTATTCATATTATATAATGTTGACCTCTTAACTTTTACTGAATTATATTTTGCTGGGAAACATTGTCAGTATGGTAAGTGCATTTCAGAATCAAAAGCAATTTCTTTGGGAATGATCTGGCGAGTGACTTAAAAGAATGTTCAAATGATCAGAAAAACAGTGTTGGTTAACTTGACATGCAGGTTTTACTTAGTGAAGCAATTTAATTTTTAGAGAGGAGCCTTTGAAGTCCTAGTGGTATTTCATACAAAAGAAGAGAAGAGAAAATATAAATTTACTAATAAAAGAATAATAAAAGTCATGATAAAATTTAATAACAATTGTCTGGAGGGATATGGGTTTTTTTTTTTTTTGCTAAAGTAATGTCATTTGAGAGATACTGACACCTATGATACTTGGATACCTGTGAAAAGGTAATGTATTAAAATATCCTCCCAAACACCTATGGTACTTGGATACCTGTAAGATTTTTGAGTGAATCAAACAACCCAAATCACCGGTTTACAACGAGTATGAGGAAGTTTAACCTCTTCATAGAGACCTTTGAGTTGCGGGACTTACCTATTCAGAGGGCAAATTATTCGAGCAGCTCCCACTTAAGTTAGACAGATTTCTATTCACAACTGATTGGGAAGTGGCTTGTAGTTACAGCACTGCCAAGACCTGTTTTAGACCATTGCCTAATGACTTTGACCCAAGAGAGGTTGGGGGTGGCCCCTGTGCTTTTAGATTTGAGAATATGTGGCTTCTGCACCCTGAATTCTTGCCAAAGGTAAAGAGTGGTGGGAGGAAGATCAAGTGGATTTCGGATGGAAGGGTTATAGATTCTATAAGAAATTGCAATTGCTGAAAGTAAGAATTTAGATGTGGAATAAAGAGAGTTTTGGAAAGATTGAGGAAAGAAAACAAGAAATTCTCAGTAGAATAGAGGAGCTAGATGGTGAGGAAGCTGAGAGAAGTTTGAGTTCAGAAGAGAGGAAAGAGAGATGGGGTTGAAAAAGGATCTAATTCTAAGAAAAGAGGAGGTTACTTGGAGACAAAAGTCTAGATGTCAATGGCTCAGGGAAGGGGATGACAATGCCAGTCTTTTTCCATATGTTGGCAAATGGGAGAAAGAGGAAAAACTCAGTGTTGAAATTGGAATGGAATGGGCAAGTATTGACAAGAGATGAGGACATAGCCCAAGCCTTTGTGAATCACTTCAAAACACTCTATGAGGGCCCAAGGAGGTCAAGAGAAAACTTAGAGGGCTTGGACTGGAGGGTTGGAAATAGAGAGTTGTTGGATTCCTTGGAAAGGAAATTTGAGGTTCAGGAAGTGAAAAATGTAGTCTTCTCAATGAAGAGATCTAAAGCCCCAGGACCTGATGGTTTTACAATGGCTTTCTATCAAGATTGTTGGGAAATAATTGGGGGTGACTTGATGGAGGTTTTTGATGAGTTCTATGAGGGGCAAATTTAACTCAGGTGCCAATGCAACTTTCATCGCTTTGATATGCAATCCAGCCGAAGGATTTTAGGCCCAAAAGTCTGATAGGAAGCATGTACAAAATCATTTCCAAGGTTTTAGCCCTAAGAATAAAATATGTTATTCCCTCGATGATTTCTCCAAATCAAGGGGCTTTTGTGTTTGGGAGACAAATAATGGGTCAAATTCTCATTGCCAATGAATGCGTAGAGTTTAGAAGGAAAGCAAAAGGGACTGGTTTGCAAGTTGGACTTAGAAAAAGCTTATGACATGGTGGATTGGGAGTTTCTGTTGGAAATTCTTAAGCGTAGGGGTTTCGGCGAAAGATGGTGTAAATGGGTGAAGGGTTGCATTTGTTCATGTCATTTTTCAATTCTGGTAAATGGAGTAGCAAGAGATTTTTTTCCTGCCTAAAGGGGCCTTAGACGAGGAGATACCCTATCTCCCTTCCTTTTTACTCTGGTAACTGATGTGTTGAGTGAATTGATCATAAGGGCAGATGCCAACAATATGGTTAGAGGCTGGAGAGTTGGAAGGGATGAAGTGGTGGTTACACACCTACAATTTGCAAATGATATTATTTTGTTTTGTGAAGGGAAAACAAAAAAACTTATGAACTTAAAAAGGATAATCCAGAAATTTGAAAAGATCTCCAACCTTAAGATTAATCGGGGCAAGAGTTGTGTGGCAGGAGTAAATTTAGGGAGTGAAGAGGTGATTCGTCTAGCTTGACTATTGGGTGTGAAGTAGGGGATTGGCCATTACAATATTTGGGACTACCATTCGGAGGAAATCCTAATATAGGTAGTTTTTGGTATCTAGTGATTGAGAGATTTACAAAGAGACTTGTGAATTGGAAGAGAAACTATATTTCTTTGGGAGGTAGGATAACCCTAATAAAGTCAACTTTGGCTAACTTATTAGTGTACTTCCTATCTACCTTTAGGATACCGGTGAAAGTGGCAAACCATCTAGAGAAGATTATGAGAAACTTCCTTTGGGAACCAGGAGACACCAAAAAAGACCACCTAGGGAAGTGGGAGGTGGTTTCTAGAAGTAGAGATGAAGGGGGCCTAGGAATAGGAAATCTTAGGCTAAGAAACATAACATTATTGGAGAAATGGTTATGGAGATTGCTGTTGGAACAAGACAGACTTTGGCATAGAGTGATTATTAGTATTCATGGATTGGCAGACAATGGTTGGGATGCAGGAATCGACCCTAGGGCTTCTCGATGCTCTCTTTGAAAAGCTATTCATGGTATTTTACCTTCATTCCTTCCTTACGTCAAAATTGATGCTTGTGCAGGAAATAAAGTGTTGTTTTGGGAAGATGTTTGGGTTGGAGACATTCCCCTTAGTGAAAGGTTCCCTTCTATTTATTCACTATCAAAAAATAAAAGAAAAGTGATCTCTTCAGTTTTTATTGATACTTCTTGGGACTTGGGTTTGAGGAGAGGTCTAAGGGAGTCGGAAATGGCAATGGTGGATGAATTAATTAACCTTCTAGGGTCAACCTACCTAGATCAATCTTGTTTGGATAGTAGAATTTGGAAACCTTTCCCATATGGTGTTCTCACTTGTTCCTCCTTCTTTGATGTCCTCATTCAATCATCAAACCCTTCAAGGAGCTTTCCTTCAAAGGAGATTTGGTGTCAACTTGTAGCCCCAAAAATTCAGGGTTTTTGTTGGGAGGTGGTTCTCCAAAAAATAATACTCTAGATATGCTGCAAAGAAAAAGGCCAAATGTATGCCCATCACCCCATGTTTGTAGCTTCTGCTTGGGCTCTATTGAGATGATCACACACCTATTAATTTCTTGGGCATTTGTGTGCTTTATTTGGGCCTGGTTCTCTTCTATCTTCGGTTGTAGGTGGACACCTCCCCTAGATGTGCCTTTTTGACCCAAGCTTTTTCAGGCAATTGAAGAGGTGTGGAAGATTAATGTGGAGACCCACAAGAGCAGCTATCTTATGGTCAGTTTGGGAAGAAATGAACAATAGAATCTTTAAAGGAGTGGAGAAATCCAAGGAGGCAATTGTAGAAAAGATAATCATTATGACTATTCAATGGTTGAAAACTTTGGATTTGTTTAAGGTCTTCTCAGCTGAAGACATTTACAGTAATTGGGAAGTGGTGGCATCTACAACTTCCATAAAACCTACTGTGCAGGAATTGTGGTCTCCACCAACACAACAAAGAGTGAAATTGAACTTCGACGGGAGTTCCAGAGATAACCCAGGCCCTTCAGGTATAGGAGGAGTATTCGGAGATGAAAATGGAAGAATTGTGGCTATGTTTTCAGGACCAATATGAGTGGGGGACTCATTGAGAGCGGAGGTGATGGCCTTGCTTCAAGGTGTAAGATATGCCACACTATTGGGGTTACACCAAATTGAGATAGAAGGAGACTCTAAATTGTTGATTGAGTGGCTGCAATCTGGTAAGTTGGGAGCTTGGATTTATAGGCAACACATAAGGGAAATCCTCAACACAACAAGGGAGATCGGTGCATGCTTCAAATGGACAAGGAGATCAGCTAATGGTTTAGCTGACACGTTGGCTAAACAAGGGACTGTGAGGGAGAGAATGCTCTGGGCAGTTTTGTAAGAAAGATTACTGGGGGCTTAACACCTGTTTAGGGGTTGACAGCTGCACTTAACTCTGGAAAGTTATTCTTAAGTTGTATTAATGAAGTTACTGTTTCCAATAAAAAAAGGTAACGTATTGTGTCAGATACTTAAATTTTTAGTGTAAAGTCCATTATCTGATGCCTTGTCCTCCATGTATCTGAGAATCATATATTATTGCTTTATAAGTAAAAAGGATAGGGGTAGACACCCTACATTCAATTAGAAAGACAGATGAGTGGAGCATGGTGACACGACCAAATAATACAATCATATACAAGAAGAGACAGAGGATCTCTTGTGTGGGCTGTTCGTGCTCCAGAATATGTGCTCTTTCCACATCATCTCCTGCTGATGCATCGGCCTTAGTATTTGTGGATCTAGGAACCCATCTTAACAAGTTGTTCAACGCGGATGTTTATGATCTTTCCTCTCTTATGAGGGGTCAGAGTGACCAAGGGCCATCAGAAAGTAAGGAAGGAGCATCCAGATACTAATACCTGTGAATGACCTTTTTGAGCATTCTCTGCAACCTCACTGTCATTCTTCTTAACCTTTTTCTAAAAAAAGGATTATTATGTAGTTTTGGGAGTTTAAAGGGCCTATCTATAATTTTGTAATTGTGGTATTTTTTTTGAAACCTTAAGGTAAAGTATTTCATTTGAAAATTCCACAAAAAATACAAAGATCTCCCCTGTACAATGAGATTCTGTACAAGGATATAACTGTATCTGACCCTTTACAAGTTCCCAAATACATCAGGAAGATCATTCTATAGCTTTACAAAAAGAAAATTCCAATAAAAGAAAGTATTTGAGTATCTACTTCTAAATGAATAGTTGCTTGCCGACCAAGAATAGACCATGCCCAAAAACTTTT